CTAATGATCTTCATAAGCTTTTCACGCTCTTCTCGTATTGTTAAGTCACAGACCAATCCCGATACCTTATATCCTTTGTCATTCCACTTATGCAAACACCCGTCCAACTCTTCTGGTTCTAGTGCACATGTATAAACATATGCTCCAGAACTTGCAAGTTCTTCGACTATGGCAAGTCTAAAAATGATAAAAATAAAATAAAATTTACACACTATAAACGCATTAAAATTATAATAAAATATTTAAATTTAACATATATAAAATATATTCGAAATTCTCTTACCCTATACCTCGAGCACCACCAGTAACAAGGGCAGTCATGCCATTAAAACACCAAGATACCATAGTTGAAGCTAAAGTATAAAATTGTCTAAACTAATAAAGGAATTAGTGGTACTATAACACAAATAAGCTAGCTAGTATATAGTGTATTTATAGTTGGTGACTGGGTTGTTAAACATGTCAGTTTACACTAGACCCAACATGGTCAAAGGTTGTGGCAATTAAATTCCTCCTATTATAAAGAAAATGCTTGTAACGGTCTTGAAGTGGGGTCATGAATGAAGCATCATTCTATTATTGTATTATATTCTGATCGAGTCTGTAATATGAAAAAAAATTTATTATGATTTTTCTATGTGATTTGTAAATTATTTTTCTATATATAATTGTGGCAATCCCCAAGATACGTGGCTTGTAAATGATGTCAATTGGATTAGTCTACTCGACCCTACTTGATTTAATTGTGTCCATAACTTCCAAAAATATGCCAGCTGTTGAAAGGTACTACTAATATATAAGGTAGTGTTGGTCAATGGTTATGTTCAATTTGTTTACTTATTGTGACAAATACAAGTCTAGTCAATTTATTAACAAAGGATCACAAAGAAATAAATTAATTTAGATATGTTAATAGGTCATTTTTATTGAGAGTCAAACATATAAAACATTATAATTACCAAATTAATAGTCTAACCAACTTGATTGAGGTTGCAAAACGTAATTTTATAACTGTTTTATTACTAAAAGAATGTTTTGTAAAATAAACTAAGCAATATAGTAAAGTCCTGTTAAGGAACATAAGATCTTTTGTGACCAATTGTATTATTTTAACCAGGACTATGTGGTCTAATGGTACTCGGGTTGGACTTCCATTTGGAAGATTATGAGTTCGAGCCTCAGTGGAGGCGTTATTGGTTCTTTGTGTTTCAGTAGGTTGAGAAAGTATATGAACAGATACTATAATGTAATAGAGCCAGTAACTTTCAAAAAAAAAAGTATCATTTTATATTATTTAATTGTTATAGTACAACTTATTAGTTTATTGTCTCTTAGACAAATTTTAATTATTACCTCTTTTATATAGGTAAATATTTTAATATGTTTTAAGTTTATTTGCTTTATAAATAGTTTATTTGTTCAGAAATATATAGCTTTTAACAAATAGATAATTAGTCTTTGCAATTATAATTGGATTAAATATTGTCTAAATATACAAATAATTCAATCGCTAAATTAAAAAGGAATAAGGGTCAAATAGGCCACTGAACTGCACACCAGAGTGCAATTAAGTCATAGAACTCAAAAAGGGTAAATTATTGTGTGGACCATGAATATCAAGTACATTTTATATATATTAAAAGTACATTATTTTTGTATTGAAGGTACATTAAATAAAATAATGTACCCTTAGTATATTAAAAATGTACTTTAAAAAATGTACCTTATGTACATAAATATTGTACCTTTAGTATATTAAAAATGTACTTTTTATTTATGGTCCACACAATTGTGTAGACCATGGTCTATGCAATAATGATTGTTCCAAAACAATGCAATTAAGTCCCTGAATCACACAAAATCATGCAATTAGAATGACCTGGTTACCTGAAATGTCGGTTACCAATTTTAAAAATAATTTTTAAATATATTTTAAAATAAAATAATTAATTAAAATTATATTATAATAATAATAATTTTAAAAAAAAAAAAAAAAAAACAACTAGAATTGCCGGAGACGAATCGTCTCCGGTAGTCTTTGTCTCCAGCCACGGAGATTAAGACTTTCGTCTCCGGCCATGGAGACGAAGACTGCCGGAGATGATTCGTCTCCGGCAGTTCTAGTTTTTTGTTTTTTTGTTTTTTTTTTTAATTAATTAATTATTTTATTTAAAATTATATTTTTAAAATTAGTAACCGCCACGTTAGCACAATTTCAGGTTAATAGGTCATTTTAGACCTAATTACATGATTTTGTGTAGTTCAGGGACCCAATTGCATTGTTTTGGGGTTCGATGGCCTAATTGCACTTTGTTGTGTAGTTCGGTGGCCTATTTGACCCTTATTCCAATTAAAAATCGTCGTCTATTAAGTGACTTAGTATAACAAAATATATTGGAGGGTGGTTATTTAAAAAATCTCTGTCTATTAAGTGACATAGTATACCATTTATGTAGTAATGATTAGGGACGAAATTTGTAATTTTAGTATAACTCAGGAACGAAAAGTGCAATGTCAATGATAACTTAGGGACGAAAAGTAAGCATGACCAACACTCAGGGACGAATTCTACAATTACTATAATTCAGGGACAAAAAGTGCAACGCCAATAATAACTTAGGGACGCAAAATGAGCATGATCAGCACTCAAGGACAAATTCTACAATTACCATATAACTTAGAGACGAAAAATACAATTTTTTCTTATATTTATTATTAATTGATCAAATTAATTCATTATTCTTCCCTTATTTTCTTTGATATTATTTTTATAAACTTTTTAAATTTGATTTTTTATTTAATAATACTATTAAGTATTTATATACTCCGTAGTTTCTAAATATATAAATTTTTGAGTTAATTTCAATTAAATATTATTAATTGCATTAAACACATTAAATGAGTACAAGACTTTTGATTTAGTCATTTAGAACAGACAAAAAATATTTCAGCCTTAGAATAATTGAATAAACAACAAATTAGAGTGACGCATCGGTGAGGGACTGAGGGCATCCGAAATTTTTGGGCCAAGTATTACCACGTTTTTTAAAAACCCAAACCTCTACATAGATGACAAATCAGAGTGGCGCAGCGGAAGTGTGGTGGGCCCATAACCCACAGGTCCCAGGATCAAAACCTGGCTCTGATAAGAGAGCTTCTGTAAAGTTTTGGCCACGGATGGCTTTCGTCAGGCCCAAGAATACCACTCTTCTTTTTTTGGGCTTCGGTCCAGGCCCAAGTATTACCAGTTTTTTTTTTTTTTTTTTTTTTTTTTTTTTTTTTAATGCTTGGGGCTTTCTGAATATATATATATATATATATATATATATATATATATATATATATATATATATATATATATATATATATATATGAAAATCATTACAGCTAACCTATATTTTAGTTTTACCACCTAATATATCATCAAAGATACTCCGTACATATTATGGAAACATCTTTGTTATATTTTTCTATTAAATCACTTTTTAATATTCATCCATACATGCAGAATATTGTAAAATACTGTATAGAATATAAATGCACGGAAGTTTTACAGTGAAGGAAGCCGAAGCCTATAACATTCGTGAGGCTTTTAAGTTAGTTGAAAAATCTAGGAGTGGGACATGTGGATGTGAAAATTGACTCCCAAACAATTTTATTGCTATTTCTTCTTCACCTTTTTACTCTACTTTTGGTTTATTAGTAGCAGGCATTAAAAAAATTTCATCCCTGTTAGATGATGTAAATTTTCTTTTTGCTAAGTGACCTGCGAATTGTGCGACCTACATTGTTATTGGGACGTCGTTTCTGGGAAATAATTTGATGTACCACCCCATTTCCTTGTTCGATGCCCTTTCTGATGATTTAATGCATTGATTTCTTTTTTTTATTTTAAAAAAAAAAAAAACAAAAAAACATAAACACTGCCCCAAATTATAGATACAATTTAAAAAAGGGCCTAATTAATTACCCATAGACCTTTCCTGTGTTAGCCCAATTCATTACCCATCGGCTCACTAATAAAAATCCCATACGTTATGCCATGGAACCGTGTTCACCATTCATGGTGAACACGGTTCCAACGGTGTTAGTACACCGTTATTTTTTATTCATTTTTCTTAATTAATTGCGTGACTTTTCTTCTTTATTTTCACATTTTGCAGTTTCACTTTAATTTGAGGTGAACAAAGATTTCGGACATTCATAAATTATGAATTCATGCCTGCACATTCACTTTGGAATCATGCCTACACATTCTCGTCCGAAATCACGGACATTCATAAATTATGAATCCATGGCTGCACATTCACTTTGGAACCATGCCTACACATTCACTTTGGAACCATGAGATTATGAATTTTCTGTTATAAGATTATGAATTTTCTGTTATGAGATTATGAATTTTCAGTTATGAGATTATGAATTTTCTGTTATGAGATTATGAATTTTCAGTTATGAGATTATGAATTTTCTGTTATGCGATTATGAATTTTCTGTTATGAGATTATGAATTTTCATTACATTCATAATTTCAGACATTCATAAATTATGAATTCATGCCTGCACATTCACTTTGGAACCATGCCTACATATTCCCGTCCGAAATCACGGACATTCATAAATTATGAATCCATGCCTGCACATTCACTTTGAAACCATGCCTACACATTCACTTTGGAACCATGAGATTATGAATTTTCTGTTATAAGATTATGAATTTTCTGTTATGAGATTATGAATTTTCAGTTGTGAGATTATGAATTTTCTTATGCGATTATGAATTTTCATAAAATTCATAATCTCATAACAGAAAATTCATAATTTGATCAAACGCGCGCCGTTAACTCCACATCCGCGAAATATTTTTTTGCCTAAAAACGACGTCGTTTTGCCTTGTGTTCACCATTCTCGGTGAACACGATTCCATGGTATAATTTGCGTAAAAATCCAAAGCCTAAGCCAAACCCTAACGCTTGTTCGGACTTCGGACAGGAAGACCACAAGCCCCTTCTCTCTCTCTGTGATCTGTCCGTACGCTCTCATCTCTCTCTAAAACTATATCTCAAATTTCATTCAATCCCTTCCCTTCTCCGGCTTTAAATTTCAAAAATCTCCAACGGATTAAATTTTTAAGTCGGCGCCGAAGGTCGGCTACTCGGCTATTTATTTAGGTTTTCCTATTTCCGATTGCTCTGTCTCGGCTATAGAGGAGGGCAGAGAAGGGAAGCAGAGGAGGGGCCATTAATGGATTCGGAAGAATTGGAAGGAACTTCTTGAGGTGCTGGCATGGAAGGAAGGATTCTCCCCTTGATGTCATTGCCATCAACGACACGGAGGTGTCAAGCAGGCCTCTCACCTTCTCAAATACGACTCCACCTTTGGCATCTTCGACGCCGACGTCAAGCTGTCGGTGACGACTCCATCTCCGTCGATGGCAAGGTCATCAAAATCGTATCCAGCCGCAATCCCCTCAACCTCCCTTGGGGGTAATATTTTATCGTATTTTATTATTTTAATTCTACTCTACATTCCCAGAGGGGCGCAGTCTTTCTACAATCCAGTTGACATTATATTTGTATATAATCTTATTCTTTATATAATTGATCAGGTTGAACTGAAGAGGCTATGTTTGAAGAATTAAACAGAGAAGCGGATTAGAAATTAACAGGTAAATCACCTTCTGTCATTAATACTTTTTGATTAATGAATTTGAACTTCTCTGTGGTAGGATCATGGTATAATGGTAGTAATCTTTGATGTTTACTGTATACAACCATTGTCTGTTATTGAAAATATAGTATACGAGTGTGAAAAGGATGCTATAGTAGGCTTACTCTTTCCCTCACCCTTGCTTGTGTCTACTATGAATAGTCTTGTTTCACTCTCCCCTTATGTAGCTATTTGGCTTGAATTGCAGAAAAGAAAGAAACAGGAAGCTACCTCCAGTCTGCGTGCATGCAACAATATATTATCAATGTGCTCGGTAAGCTTTTCAACTATGTATTACAATTAGCCTCTGTTTATGGGTTGCGAACTACAGGAACCTTTATGGTGAATACTTTGCTTCTTAACCTGATAACCTATGCAAACTAATATTTTTTGTGCTTGACAGCGGGTGGAAATGTTCATGACTGCACTAAGAATGATTTTCAAGTGTTCTTTTTAGTTTTTAAAATGATTTTCAGGTGTTCTTTTTTGTTCTTAAAATGATTTTCAAGTGTTCTTTTTTATTCTTAAAATGATTTTCAAGTGTTATTTTTATTTTTTAAATTGATTTTAAAGTGTTATTTTTAGTTTTAAAAATGATTTTCAAGTGTTCTTTTTAGTTTTAAAAATGATTTTCAAGTGTTCTTTTTAGTTTTAAAAATGATTTTCAAGTGTTATTTTTATTTTTAAAAATGTTTTCAAGTGTACTTTTTAGTTTTTTTTTTTTTAGTTTTTTAGTTTTTTAGTTTTTTAGTTTTTAGTTTTTTTTTTTTTTTTTTTTTAATTTTAAAATGATTTTCAAGTGTTTTTAGTAGTTTTTAAAATGATTTTAAAGTATTCTCTTTTTAAAAATGATTTTCAAGTGTTCTATTTAGTTTTTAAAAGGATTTTCAAGTGTTCTTTTTGGCTTTTAAAATAATTTTCAAGTGTTCTTTTTAGTTCTTAAAATAATTTTCAAGTGTTCCTTTTAGTTTTTAAAAATGATTTTCAAGTGTTCCTTTTAGTTTTTAAAAATGATTTTCAAGTCTGCTCTTTAGTTTTAAAAATGATTTTCAAGTCTTCTCTTTAGTTTTTAAAATAATTTTCAAGTGTTTTTCTTAGTTTTAAAAATGCTTTTCAAGTGTTCTCTTCGTGCAGTCACCTGAATCCATGCATTCTATTTTTTGAAACCCTGCAATAAGTGCTAAGAACATCATATTCTTGGACTGGTATATTGAATTTATTTTGTAACATTCTGGAATCTGGCTAATTTTTTCTTTATCATTCCTCAGGATTAGCGCTACTCAAAGTTGAAACCATTCTTGCAGAAGGTATGCTCCTGCTTGTTTTGAATCCTTTAATTCTGCATTCTGCTCTACGTACACACTCGTAGAAAGAGCAATTATTCTTGCATGCGGCTATTTCCACTGGATCTAGACAGGTTACATCGTCCTCCTTTTGATTTCTTTGTTTATTTGGCCTTTTCTTTGTTTGTCCTCTCTTGGCCAGTTTTTTCCGGTGTAGATTGACGTAGAGCCGGCTTAGTGTGGGGTGATGTTTGTTGGGTTGCGGCGGAGTGAGTTCACCAAGGCCTATGTCTTCTCAAATCGTTTGGGCGGTGTTGGCTTTCCGGAGACAACTGTGTGGTCGCTTGCCAAAAAGCGTTGTTGACTTGTCACTGGAGGTCCTACCTTACTCTGGTGATGTAAATCTTTAAGGTGTTATTTGAATCCTCAAGCAATATTCTCGAGTCCATTTTATTTCAAGACGACCAATCAACCTCAGTTGGAATTTGTCATGCATATGGATAATTTGTATTTCTGGAATTGGTTATAATCTCGAGTCTATCAATTGTTTCTCTTTGAATAATTTGTATTTCTGGCAAACTATGGAAATGAATAAATGGTATGTTTTTTGCAGTGGATTAATTCTGAAGAAGCTGGATAAGGAATTGGAGAGGTCCCTTCTGCATTCATATCGCAAGGTATAACTGGATTACTTCTACAGGCCTTTTTTGTCAAAAAGTGAATGATCCGACTACTATTTAAAGAACCAGACCAATTATCCCTTGACTGCTTTCTTTAAATAATACTGAATTCCAAATGATTGTGTTTGGTAACATTTCAATGCAAAGTAGAATAAATTAATGATGAAATCTGAACTAAAAATTTGTCAAATTTTGACCCTCCTAAAATGAACTGAATCTTTGCAAATGCAATGGGATACAAGACAATGTTGGGAGTCAATCGGGTATTTGATTTAAAACCTGTGTACATAAAAATCATTAAGGAGCTTTTGTGAGGCTCGACTTTTATGGGTTTATGTTAAGGTTTTATTTATTAAAGCAGTACAAAGGATAATAATCTTTCAGCATTGAATTGTAAGATTGTAGCTTCTGTCGTATATGTGTTGAAGTGTGTCTTCTTCTCGTGGTGTACCTATCAGCTACATAGAACAAGATAAATCAGAATCTGGGATGATTTTGAATTTTTATGTTATTTCAAGTGCATGCTGTTATAGTGGCGTAACTGCACTCCCTTTCCTGCTTGTTTGATGTGTACATAGTTCTGATGGCTTCTCAACTATGTGGTTATACAGGATCTGACAACTCAAGTTTCTGCTGAAACTGATGCAGTTTTCACTCTTACCAAAAGTTGTTTCTCTACTTTATTTACAGAATTACAGGTTAGTCACCTTTTTCATTTTTCAATTTTGTTGTTATATTTCTAAAATTTCTTTTTGAGTTATTTTTAGCGTTATTTTAGTGTTCTTTTTAGTTTTTAAAATGATTTTTTCAAGTGTTATTTTTAGTTTTAAAAATGATATTCAAGTGTTCTTTTTAGTTCTTAAAATGATTTTCAAGTGTTTTTTTAAGTTTTTAAAATGATTTTCAAGTGTTCTTATTATTTTTAAAAATGATTTTCAAGTGTTCTTTTTAGTTTTAAAAATGATTTTCTAGTGTTATTTTTATTTTTAAAAATGATTTTCAAGTGTTCTTTTTATTTTAAAAATGATCTTCATGTGTTATTTTTATTTTTTAAAAATGATTTTCAAGTGTTATTTTTAGTTTTTAAAATGATTTCAAGTGTTTTTATTAGTTTGTAAAATTATTTTCAAGTGCTCTTGTTAGTTTTTAAAATGATTTTCAAGTATTCTCTTTAGTTTTTAAATGATTTTCAAGTGTTCTGTTTAGTTTTTAAAATGGTTTTCAAGTATTCTTTTTGGCTTTTAAAATAATTTTCAATTGTTCTCTTTTGTTCCTAAAATAATTTTCAAGTGTTTCTTTTTAGTTCATAAAATGATTTTCAAGTTTTCTCTTTAGTTTTTAAAATGATTTTAAAGTTTTCTGTTTAGTTTTTAAAATGATTTTCTAGTGTTTTTCTTAGTTTTAAAAGTGATTTTCAAGTGTTTTTCTTAGTTTTAATAGTGATTTTCAAGTGTTCTTTTTTGTTTTATAAATTATTTTCAAGTGTTTTGTTTGGTTTTAAAAATGATTTTCTAGTGTTTCTAGTCTTCATGCAGTCACCTGAATCCATGCATTATATTTTTTTGAAACCCTGCATTGAGGGCTAAGAACATCATTCTTGAACTTAGTATATTGAATTTATTTTGTAACATTCTGGAATCTGGCTAATTTTTTCTTTATCATTCCTCAGGATGAGCGCTGCTCAAAGTTGAAAATTTATCCAATCTTGCAGAAGGTATGCAGCTGTTTGTTTTGAATCCGTAAATTCTGCATTCTGCTCTACCTCCTACACACTCTAACTGTTCATCCAGTGAAATGTTTACTTAAGTAATACTATTCATGTATTCAGCATACTTCTGAGTGTACATAGTTCTGATGGCTTCTCAACTATGTGGTTATACAGGATCTGACAACTCAAGTTTCTGCTGAAACTGATGCAGTTCCACTTTTACCAAAAGTTGTTTCTCTACTTTATTTACAGAATTACAGGTTAGTCACCTTTTTCATTTTTCAATTTTGTAGTTATATTTCTAAAATTTCTTTTTGAGTTATTTTTAGCGTTATTTTAGTTTTCTTTTTAGTTTTTAAAATGATTTTTTCACGTGTTATTTTTAGTTTTAAAAATGATATTCAAGTGTTCTTTTTAGTTCTTATAATGATTTTCAAGTGTTTTTTTAAGTTTTAAAAATGATTTTCAAGTGTTATTATTTTTAAAAATGATTTTCAAGTGTTATTATTTTTAAAAATGATTTTCAAGTGTTCTTTTTATTTTAAAAATGATCTTCATGTGTTATTTTTATTTTTTAAAAATGATTTTCAAGTGTTATTTTTAGTTTTTAAAATGATTTCAAGTGTTCTTATTAGTTTGTAAAATTATTTTCAAGTGCTCTTGTTTGTTTTTAAAATGATTTTCAAGTATTCTCTTTAGTTTTTAAATGATTTTCAAGTGTTCTGTTTAGTTTTTAAAATGGTTTTCAAGTATTCTTTTTGGCTTTTAAAATAATTTTCAAGTGTTCTCTATCGTTCCTAAAATAATTTTCAAGTGTTTCTTTTTAGTTCATAAAATGATTTTCAAGTTTTCTCTTTAGTTTTTAAAATGATTTTAAAGTTTTCTCTTTAGTTTTTAAAATGATTTTCTAGTGTTTTTCTTAGTTTTAAAAGTGATTTTCAAGTGTTCTTTTTTGTTTTATAAATTATTTTCAAGTGTTTTGTTTGGTTTTAAAAATGATTTTCTAGTGTTTCTAGTCTTCATGCAGTCAGCTGAATCCATGCATTATATTTTTTTGAAACCCCGCATTGAGTGCTAAGAACATCATTCTTGGACTTAGTATATTGAATTTATTTTGTAACATTCTGGAATCTGGCTAATTTTTTCTTTATCATTCCTCAGGATGAACGCTGCTCAAAGTTGAAAATTTATCCAATCTTGCAGAAGGTATGCAGCTGTTTGTTTTGAATCCGTAAATTCTGCATTCTGCTCTTCCTCCTACACACTCTAACTGTTTATCCAGTGAAATGTTTACTTAAGTAATACTATTCATGTATTCAGCATGTAAGTGGAGCACAAGAATCATCTTTGTTGCCATAATATGCATTTTCAGTTTTCAGATCTATCTCGAGAGAATTCCGAGAAAACTTGAAGTTGATGCTTTTGCTGAAGAACTAAAACAATACAATGTTTTCTTGTATTTGGTGCAAGTACTGTTAATATTTATATGATTTCAAGTGCCTAAAATCTAATTCTTAACCTAATTGTTACACAAGCAAGCCCTTCTGCTAACTTACTGTTCTGGGTCGTGCTATGATTGAGCATAACCTACTGAGTGCTAGCAAACTTTATACAAATATAAGGTAAGAGGCAACGGGATAATACTATTTTCTTTCATACCATTGTTTTTAAGATTTCCCCTTTGTTGTTTCCAGTTTCCCTATTATTGCTTTGTTACTGCTCATTGGATGTTGCTAATAACTTTGTCCTTGTTCATTGGGCAGCTTTGATGAGTTGGGCACACTGTTGGGAATTCCTCCTCAAAAGGTACCACACTTTCTTCAAACAGTTCTGTTAAATTATAGAACATCATTAATTGGCTTGTAGTTAGATGTTTCAAGTTTGTTTATAATGGAGACGGCCAAGCTCAATCCTCATGGTCTCTTATATTTCTTTTTTAGATACAATGCTCTGCTGAAGAAATTTGCGCTTTGAGTTTTCTTATGATTTTCAGATAAGACTCTCGGATAATTTTCTCTTTTTTATTGTACATTATGTTTTTATTTGGTGTTCTTTCTACACATTTTTAGGTTTTGTTGTGTAATTTCATAGTTCATTTTTCATTTCTATACTTGTATTTCTAAAATTTCCTTTTTGAGTTATTTTTAGATTTTCTTTTTAGTTTTTAAAATGAATTTCAAGTGTTCTTTTTAATGTTTAAAAATGAATTTCAAGTGTTCTTTTTTGTTCTTAAAATGATTTTCAAGTGTTCTTTTTTGTTCTTAAAATGATTTTCAAGTGGTTCTTTTTACTTTTGAAAATGATTTTCAAGTGTTTTTATTAGTTTTGAAAATGATTTTCAAGTGTTTTTATTAGTTTTGAAAATGATTTTCAAGTGTTCTTTTTAGTTTTAAAAATGATTTTCAAGTGTACTTTTTGATTTTAAAAATGATTTTGAAGTGTTCTTATTAGTTTTTAAAATGATTTTCAAGTATTCTCTTTAGTTTTTAAAAATGATTTTCAAGTGTTCTATTTATTTTTTTAAATGATTTTTAAGTCTTCTTTTCTCTTTAGTTAAAATGATTTTCAAGTGTTCTTTTTAGTTTTTAAAATGATTTTCATGTCTTCTCTTTAGTTTTTAAAATGATTTTCATGTCTTCTCTTTAGTTTTTAAAAATGATTTTCAAGTGTTTTTCTTAGTTTTAAAAATTATTTTCAATGTGTTTTGTTTGATTTTAAAAATGATTTTCAAGTGTTTCTAGTCTTCATGCATTCACCTGAATCCATGCATTCTATTTTTTGAAACCCTGCATTGAGTGCTAAGGATATCATTTTTGGACTGGTATATTGAATTTATTTTGTAACATTCTGGAATCTGGCTAATTTTTTCTTTTATCATTCCTCAGGATGAGCGCTGCTCAAAGTTGAAAATTTATCCAATCTTGCAGAAGGTATGCAGCTGTTTGTTTTGAATCCGTAAATTCTGCATTCTGCTCTACCTCGTATACACTCTAACTGTTCATCCAGTGAAATGTTTGCTTAAGTAATACTGGTATATTCATGTATTCAGCATGTCAGTGGAGCACAAGAATCATCTTGGTTGCCATAATATGCATTTTTCACTTTCCAGGTAATCAGGTCTATCTTGAGAGAATTCTGAGAAACCTGAAATTGATGCTTTGGCTAAAGAACTAAAACCATACCGGATTTTCTTTTATTTGGTTTAAGTACTGTTAATATTTATGTGATTTCAAGTGCCTAAAATCTTATTCTTAACCTAATTGCTTCAACAACGCACTTTGGATACATAACACTTCTACGATAACGGTTTTATTTATCCGTTGTCTTTGTTAGTTTCTTTTTTTAAATGACGACAACCAAACCTCTTCCTGTCGCCGTCGCTCCTCCACCAAAGTCGTCACCTCTTCCTAACTCCGTCACTGTCGCCGTCTACGTCTCTGTTGCACTACATGTTACTCAAATCTTAAACCGTAATTCTTAAATTTCTAATTCCATTTATCCCTATCTCATAATTTCATTAAGTCCTAAATCCCTATGTCAAGTATTCTATAAAAACTTGTGTTGTGACAGTAAATGACTTTTAAGGACAGTTATCAAGGAGGTTGAAACTCGGGTAAGATTTTCTTTTAAGAAAAACACTCTATAAGATGTTTTTAAGAGGTTAGACATCATTGATTAATTATTTCTTTCATGTTGATTTTAAGTTCAATAAATAGTTGAGTTTTTTTTTTTTTTTTTTTTTTTGTTGGTTACTTTAACCTGTATTATATTTTAATAGTTTTGCAGGGAGAAAAATTCCTGGGCTGATCTTAATATTGATAGATTTTCCAAGGTATTTCCCCACCTCCAACACACTCAAACATATGTTAACATATTAATTGATAATCTCTTTTAATTGTATTACCTATTAGTGTCTACTCTTGATTCATCGTTCCCCTTTAGTAATTTTGATTTCCCTGATTTTTAGTATGCTTTTTGATCGATATTTGTGTTCCTTGACATGTCTGAACAATTTTTCTATCTGGAAGATGCCATTTCCACTTCTAGTTCTGTAGCAGAAGCTACTCGACATTTTGATTACCTTTTGTATTTATTTACACATGTGAATGGTAGTCACTCTAATGCTGCATAAATTTGTCTATTTGTTTTACTGGAGATCCATACAAGACACTTTTTGGAGCTAGACTTGTGAGTAGAGCTTATTACAACGTGTTTATTAACTTCAATTTAAGCCAGTCTGTTTGTATATTGTACGACTTTTTTGATTGTGTTGTTTTTGTTTTCAGAACTATGAGACGACTGAAAACAGAAATCAAAAGGGAATTTGAGGGATATGGTCCTATCAAGAGGGGGGTAGGGTATTACGGGGAACCCATTGTGGGGCTTAAGTTTCTGACATTGGGTTGGTAAGGTGATGTTTTATGGTGGGATTGCATTGCTGTTCCATAAATTTTATGCATAGTTCCTATTTTGTTACTGCCCATCCCAACTCCCAAGTCATCTGCTTTCTGATGTGTCCTATATTCTAACAGGAATTCTATTTACACCACCCTAATTACTATTTAGTATTTACACCACTCTTTGATAGGTGTGCTGGCTTTATAGGTGATAGAAAATTGATATTTGCACCACTTCATTAACATTAGTCAAACATTATATTTTTATTTAAAATATTTAATATTTATTTTTATTTAAAAATCAAAACATAAAAAAAAAATAGGTGAAAAGGCGAAGGATTGTATTTTTTTTTTTTAAATGGCAATCTGAGTCGCCTTCTCCGGTGAGAAGGCAACGGAAGACGAGTGGTTGTCGTTGATGTTGTTAAAATTAACTCTAAATTTTATATATATTAATATTGAACATAATATTACAAAAAAGTTTAATTGTAAATAACTTCAATTAAATATTATTAATTGCATTAAACATGTAAAATGAGTACAAGACTTTTGATTTAGAACAGACAAAAAATATTTCAACCTTAGAATAAACAACAAATTACAGGGCGTTTGGTTGGAGGGGTTTTAAATTCCCTTCTCACTTAATTCCCACCTAATTCCAAAGGCCATTAAATTCTGTAGTTTGGTTGGAGGGAATTGCAATTCCATGGAATTGCAATTCCCCCATTTTCATGGAATTAAAATCCCATGTCCCTCCTGGGATTTTAATTCCTGGAAAAAAAAAAAGATAGTGATGAGTCAAAATTACCCTTTTCTTTTTTAACTTAAAATTAATGTCTAACAACAATAATGGACATTTTTGACTTTATATTACTTATTTCCTTTCAATTCCCATGTATACCAAACATTGGAATTGAAATTTCCAGTAATTCTATTCCAGTCAACCAAACACTGAAATTTAAATTCTCACTTTATTCCCGGTAATTCAACTCCTATGGAATTACAATTCCTTTCCCACATAATTCCCCCCTTCCAACCAAACGCCCTTTTAGAGTGGCGCATCGGTGAGGGCTTCCGAAAATTTTGGGCCCAAGTATTATCATGTTTTTGTTTTTTTAAATCCAAACCTCTAAATAAATAAATCAAAGTGCGAAAGCGTGGTGAGCCCATAACCCACAGGTCTCATAATCAAAACCTGGCTCTGACAAAAGAGCTTCGGCAGTTTTTTGGCCACGGTTGGCTTTTGTCAGGCCTAAGAAATACCACTCTACTTTTTTTGGGCTTGGGTCCAGGCCCAAGTATTACCAATTTTTTTTTAATTTATTATTTAGATGCTTGGGGCTCTCTGAATATATATATATATATATATATATATATATATATATATATATATATATATATATATATATGAAAATTAGTTTTACCACCTAATATATCACCAGAGATACTCCGTACATATTATGGAAACATCTTTGCTATATTTTTCTATTAAATCACTTTTTAATAGTCATTCATACATGCAGAATATTGTACAATACTGTATACAATACAAATGCATGGAAGCTTTACAGTTAAGGAAGCCGAAGCCTATAGCATTCGTGAGGCTTTAAGTTAGCTGAAAGATTTGAGAGTGGGACATGTGGATGTGAAAATTACTCCCAAATAGTCTTCAATGCTATTTCTTCTTTACCTTTTTACTCTACTTTTGGTTTATTAGTAGCAGACCTTAAAGAAATTTCATCCCTATTAAATGATATAAATTTTCTTTTTGCTAAGCGGCCAGTGAATCGTATGGCCCACACTGTTGCTAGGGACGTCGTTTTTATGTCAGGTGGCGAGGAATGATTTGATGTATTATCCCATTTCCTTGTTCGATGTCTTTATGATGATTTAATGCATTGATTTGTTCTTTAAAAAAAAACAAAAAAAAAAAAAAAACCAAAAAAACATAAACACTACCCCAAATTATAGATACAAATTAAAAAATATATATTAATTTGTACAAACCCGGCAAGCAAATGCATTGATTTGTTCTTTAATGCATTGATTTGTCGTTTTTTTTTTTTTTTTTTTTTTTTTTTTGTTTTTTTCACTTCATTATTTTTATGGTGTGTGGCTTTTTAAATTTTAGATTGTTGAAAATGCTAGAGGGGCAGGTTTCCCCTCCTTTCCCTAATTTTGCCACTGGGTGTGGGATAGGTACCTACATTGTGCACATTGATTTTGCCTTGGATATGAAATTCTTAATGTAGAATAGTCTGATTTTGTGTACTGATTGCATGCTATTTAATTTTATCTTGCCAATAGGTTTCTGATGCGGATCATATTATGCGGTTCATATCTTGCCTCTGTATGGCCATTCCCTTTTTCAAGGTATACCACTTAAGCATTTGAATATTTGACAGTCTCCAATTTGTTTCTGCATTCAGTTACCTCTTAATGTATTTATTTTAGAGGAGAGCATCAAGCAGCAAGTTTCTTAACTATCTGAACAAGCAAATTTTTCCTGTTTTTGACAAGGTACTGGTTGAGTGACATAATCTATGTTTCTCATTTTGTTTAAATAATATGATAATTAGGGATACTTCATTTATTTTTCTTTTTATTTCTGCATTGCCAATTACCTCTGTTATATAATCTGTGTTCCTATTTGAAATGTTTTATGAAAGCCGCTTAATGAATTTCCGTTTTGGAGATAAAACATATTATGATGTTTATGTGCTCGTAATTATTTAATGCTGAAATGTTATTTTATGATGTAAATTGGCTTTCACAAGGCCTTGTTCAGCAACTACAAATCTACAATACATCTTGTAGAACTTCCTGTATTTTCATAATTCAATTTTTGTTTTTTCTTTTCTTCATCTTGGATTATTTCGGAACTATTAGATGCAAGTAATACTTTTATATATTCTGCTTTCAGAAGAGCAAAAGTTGGATTTAACCCACAAGATTCTCATCAGCTTCTTCCATCCATTGTTCGGCTTCTAAAGGTATTGCCATAATGTGTGAAGGAGACTTGCATATTTGCTTGTTCCTCCTATGCGAATCTGCATGTTTGGTGCTTTGGCAGAGTTGAAATGGCAATTTTCTGTGATCATTTGACTTTGCTGTTTTCAAACTTTTTCTTCAATAATTACACAATGCTGTACCTGTTATTAAAAATGCATTCATGGAACTTGCGTTTTGAGATTAGTTATAGTAGTAGTCTTATTCATTGGACTTGCATATGGAATCCTTGCTGCTTGTTGGCTTTAGATGTGATCTACTGTTTCAATTTTTTTGTTTTGCCAATTCATTGGGCAGTTGTGTTCTTTGCACCTTTAGAATGCAATCCCTCAATTGTTGGTCTTTACTCACAGATCTTAGGTCTTTTAGGAGACAACAATATCTGTTTTTCTTCTATGCAGTTGCTATACCTTCATTTTTGTATTGGGATTCTAACATTCTCATTGAAACTTCCAATATCTGATTTTCCTCTCAGAAATACATGGTTCAGAGAAAGATTGAAGAAATAAACTTTACATATATTGAGTGCTTGTAGTATGCATTTCACCATCTGGCTCATAAGGTAAGAATCAAGCTTTTGCGCCCTTCTTTAGTGATTTGCTTTATATGTGTAGTCAAATGAATTTACATTCCGTTAATTTTATTATTTTTACAGACTCCTAATGCAACAAATAGTCTTTGCGGCTATAAGATTGTAACGGGTCAACCATCAGACCGGTTGGGGGAGGACTTCTCAGAGCAGTTAAGGTGCTATCTCCTTGTTTCTACTTCTTTTAAATATATAAAATTCTGACTTGTTCACCACAATTTCAAAGGGAGTGTTAGTGTTTTTGCTCTATATTACAGAAGATGATGGTTGGGTATATTGTGAACTCTGGCTCCTATAACTATCTTGGCCCGGAGTTATTTATTTGTGTGATGAATGTTTACTTCAATACAATTAGTGTTGAACATTTATCTCAGTTGTCATGAATGATCATCACTGACATGAACATTTGCCTTTGTCATCATGCTAGGCGAGATAGGGTTCATGATATTATTTGTGGAAGGATGACTAGAATAAACATTGCAATTCTGTTCTCATATGCAATCTTTTTAGTACTGTTGGCTGACATTATATATCTTCTTGTGCTTGACAGTTGGTGGAAATGTTCATGACTGCACTAAGAATGATTTTCAAGTGTTCTTTTTAGTTTTTAAAATGATTTTCAAGTGTTTTTTTTTTTTTTTTTTTTTGGTTCTTAAAGTGATTTTCAAGTGTTCTTTTTAGCTTTTAAAATGATTTTCAAGTGTTATTTTTAGTTTTTAAAATGATTTTCAAGTGTTCTTTTTAGTTTTAAAAATGATTTTCAAGTATTCTTTTTAGCTGTTAAAAATTATTTTCAAGTGTACTTTTTTTGTTTTGTTTTTTGTTTTTTTGTTTTTTAAATTTATTTTTAAAAAATGATTTTCAAGCGTTTTTATTAGTTTTTAAAATGATTTTAAAGTATTCCCTTTAGTATTAAAAATGATTTTCAAGTGTTCTATTTAGTTTTTAAAAGGATTTCCAAGTGTTCTTTTTGGCTTTTAAAATGATTTTCAAGTGTTCCTTTTAGTTTTTAGAAATGATTTTCAAGTGTTCCTTTTAGTTTTTTAAAATGATTTTCAAGTGTTCTTTTTAGTTTTTAAAATGATTTTCAAGTCTTCTCTTTAGTTTTAAAAATGATTTTCAAGTGTTCTCTTCGTGCAGTCACCTGAATCCATGCATTCTATTTTTTGAAACCCTGCATTGAGTGCTAAGACCATCATATTCTTGGACTGGTATATCGAATTTATTTTGTAACATTCTGGAATCTGGCTAATTTTTTTCTTTATCATTCCTCAGGATTAGCGCTACTCAAAGTTGAAAATTTATCCAATCTTGCAGAAGGTATGCTCCTGCTTGTTTTGAATCCTTAAATTCTGCATTCTGCTCTACCTCGTACGCACTCGTAGAAAGAGCGATTATTCTTGCATGCGGCTATTTCTACTGGATCTAGACAGGTTACATCATCCTCCTTTTGATTTCTTTGTTTATTTGGCCTTTTCTTTGTTCGTCCTCTCTTGGCCATTTTTTTCTGGTGTAGATTGACGAAGACCCGGCTGAGTGTGGGGTGCTGTTTGTCCGGTTGCGGTGGAGTGAGTACCAAGGCCGGCGTCTTCTCAAATCCTTCGGGCGGTGTTGGCTTTGCGGAGACAACTGTTTGCGGTCGCTTGCCAAAAAGCGTTGTTGACTTGTCACTGGAGGTCCTACCTTACTCTGGTGATGTAAATCTTTAAGGTGTTATTCGAATTCTCAAGCAATATTCTCGAGTCCATTTTATTTTAAGACAGCCAATCAACCTCAGTAAGTCATACAAATCCTGTTCAAATAGTTGGAATTTGTAATGCATATGGATTGAGTATTTACCTTTTCTGTACAGATTCTTCTCCACAAACTTTTGTTGCGAACTACAGGAACCTTTATGGTGGATGCTTTGCTTCTTAACCTGGTAACCTATGCAAACTATTATTTTTATGCTTTATTTCTTCTTGGCAGTACATCTAATATAATTGGTTGTATGTCTTACAGAACAAGTTGTAATGATGTATCCATGCAGGATGTGCACAATAAAATGAAAAATGGAATTGAAGTTGATGAGTCTCAACCTGCTTCACTTAACTATGCTCCTGTAAATACTTTGTCACCTAATTTTCCCGATACTGCTTTTTAATAATGAGTGCTAGATTTCCAGAATTAATATGTTGTCATCCCAGGCCAAGAGTCTCCCAGGACCACTGTCAAGGCAATTGCCCTACGCCCCTACTTGTAGCTTTGGAAGGTCTGTCAAGGCAATTGCCCTACGCCCCTACTTGTAGCTTTGGAAGGGAAGGTCAGTATTTTCTTTTCTCAGAAACCAATTTTCAAAATATTTTTGTGGCCCGCAATTTTCTTGTTGCATCTGCTGTCCTAACATAAAGGTATCTTTAATTGTCCATGATAATGATGATGATGATGATGATGATGATTAAAGAAAAAGGGATGACAACCTTGACATTTTTACTTCTGAACTCAATTGATTCTGTGACTCATTTCTGCTGTTTATATGGGAATTCCATACTTTGCATATGAGAACAGAATTGACATTATTAATCTTCTTGTGCTTGATAGCGGGTGGAAATGTTCATGAATGCACTAAGAGCTCTGGCAGAGGAAAGGTAGCAAAACGGGGTTCTATCAATTGTTTCTCTTTGAATCATTTGTATTTCTGGCGAACTATGGAAATGAATAAATGGTATGCTTTTTGCAGTGGATTAATTCTGAAGATGCTGGATAAGAAATTGGAGAGGACCCTTGTGCATTCATATCACAAGGTATCACTGGATTACTTCTACAGACACCTTTTTGTCAAAAAGTGAATGATCCGACTAGCTATTTAAAGAACCAGACCGATTATCCCTTGACTGCTTTAAATAATACTGAATTCCAAATGATTGTGTTTGGTAACATTTCAATGCAAAGTAGAATAAATTAATGATGAAATCTGAACTAAAAATTTGTCAAATTTTGACCCTCCTAAAATGAACTGAATCTTTGCAAATGCAATGGGATACAAGACAATGTTGGGAGTCAATCGGGTATTTGATTTAAAACCTGTGTACATAAAAATCATTAAGGAGCTTTTGTGAGGCTCGACTTTTATGGGTTTATGTTAAGGTTTTATTTATTAAAGCAGTACAAAGGATAATAATCTTTCAGCATTGAATTGTAAGATTGTAGCTTCTGTCGTATATGTGTTGAAGTGTGTCTTCTTCTCGTGGTGTACCTATCAGCTACACAGAACAAGATAAATCATAATCTGGGATGATTTTGAATTTTTATGTTATTTCAAGTGCATGCTGTCATAGTGGCTTGTAACTGCACTCCCTTTCCTGCTTGTTTGATGTGTACATAGTTCTGATGGCTTCTCAACTATGTGGTTATACAGGATCTGACAACTCAAGTTTCTGCTGAAACTGATGCAGTTTTCACTCTTACCAAAAGTTGTTTCTCTACTTTATTTACAGAATTACAGGTTAGTCACCTTTTTCATTTTTCAATTTTGTACTTATATTTCTAAAATTTCTTTTTGAGTTATATTTAGCGTTATTTTAGTGTTCTTTTTAGTTTTTTTTTTTTTTTTTAAATGATTTTTAAGTGTTCTTTTTAGTTTTAAAAATGATTTTCAAGTGTTATTTTTAGTTTTTAAAATGATTTTCAAGTGTTCTTATTAGTTTTAAAAATGATTTCCAAGTATTCTTTTTAGTTTAAAAATGATTTTCTAGTGTTATTTTTATTTTTTAAAATGATTTTCAAGTGTTCTTTTTATTTTTTAAAATGATTTTCATGTGTTATTTTTATTTTTTAAAAATGATTTTCAAGTGTTCTTTTTAGTTTTTAAAATGATTTTCAAGTGTTCTTATTAGTTTTTAAAATGATTTTCAAGTGTTCTGTTTAGTTTTTAAAATGATTTTTAAGTATTCTTTTTGGCTTTTAAAATAATTTTCAAGTGTTCTCTTTCGTTCTTAAAATAATTTTCAAGTGTTCCTTTTAGTTCTTAAAATGATTTTCAAGTTTTCTCTTTAGATTTTAAAATGATTTTAAAGTCTTCTCTTTAGTTTTTAAAATGATGATTTTCTAGTGTTTTTCTTAGTTTTAAAAGTGATTTTGAAGTGTTCTTTTTAGTTTTAAAAATTATTTCAAGTGTTTCTAGTCTTCATGCAGTCACCTGAACCATGCATTCTATTTTTTGAAACCCTGCATTGAGTGCTAAGAACATCTTTCTTGGACTGGTATATTGAATTTATTTTGTAACATTCTGGAATTTGGCTAATTTTTTCTTTATCATTCTTCAGGATGAGCGCTGCTCAAAGTTGAAAATTTATCCAATCTTGCTGAAGGTATGTTCCTGTTTGTTTTGAATCCGTAAATTCTGCATTCTGCTCTAACTGTTCATTCAGTGAAATATTTACTTGAAGTAATACTGGTATATTCATGTATTATTCAACATGTAAGTGGAGCACAAGAATCATCTTGGTTGCCAACTTGCCATAATAAGCATTTTCACTTTTCAGGTCTATCTAGAGAGAATTCCGAGAAAACTTGAAGTTGATGCTTTTGCTGAAGAACTAAAACCATACCATGTTTTCTTGTATTTGGTTTAAGCACTGTTAATATTTATATGATTTCAAGTGCCTAAAATCTAATTCTTAACCTAATTGATACACCAGCAAGCACTTCTGCTAACTTTACTGTTCTGGATCATGCTATGATTGAGCATAACCTACTGAGTGCTAGCAAACTTTATACAAATATAAGGTAAGAGGCAACGGGATAATACTATTTTCTTTCATACCATTGTTTTTAAGATTTCCCCTTTGTTGTTTACAGTTTCCCTATTATTGCTTTGTTACTGCTCATTGGATGTTGCTAATAACTTTGTCCTTGTTCATCTATTGGGCAGCTTTGATGAGTTGGGCACACTGTTGGGGATTCACTTTGCCTAATTCTTTTGAATTTCCCCCAGTTTTGAAAGTCCGGCGAAAATGAGGATAAATAGAATGTCCCCCAGAAATCATTAATTAGGCTCCTCAAAAGGTATCACACTATCTTCAAACAGTTCTGTTAAATTATAGAACATCATTACTTGGCTTGTAGTTAGATGTTTCAAGTTTGTTTATAATGGAGGAGGCCAAGCTCAATCCTCGTGGTCTCTTTATTTCTTTTTTAGATACGATGCTCTGCTGAAGAAATTTGCACTTTGAGTTTTCCTATGATTTTCAGATAAGATCTTGCTCTCTTGGATAATTTTCTCTTTTTTATTGTACATTATGTTTTTATTTGGTGTTCTTTCTACACATTTTTAGTTTTGTTGTGTAATTTCATAATTCATTTTTCAATTCTATACTTATATTTCTAAAATTTCCTTTTTGAGTTATTTTTAGATTTTCTTTTTAGTTTTTATAATGAATTTCAAGTGTTCTTTTTACTTGGATAATTTTCTCTTTTTTATTGTACATTATGTTTTTATTTGGTGTTCTTTCTACACATTTTTAGTTTTGTTGAGTAATTTCATAGTTCATTTTTCAATTCTATACTTATATTTCTAAAATTTCCTTTTTGAGTTATTTTTAGATTTTCTTTTTAGTTTTTAAAATGAATTTCAAGTGTTCTTTTTAATTAAAATGATTTTCAAGTGTTTTTCTTAGTTTTAAAAATGATTTTCAAGTGTTCTTTTTAGTTTTAAAAATTATTTTCAATGTGTTTTGTTTGGTTTTAAAAATGATTTTCAAGTGTTTCTAGTCTTCATGCAGTCACCTGAATCCATGCATTCTATTTTTTGAAACCCTGCATTGAGTGCTAAGGATATCATTTTTGGAGTGGTATATTGAATTTATTTTGTAACATTCTGGAATCTGGCTAATTTTTCTTTATCATTCCTCCGGATGAGTGCTACTCAAAGTTGAAAATTTATCCAATCTTGCAGAATGTAAGCTCTTGCTTGTTTTGAATCTGTAAATTCTGCATTCTGCTCTACGTCCTACACACTCAAACTGTTCATCCCAGTGAAATATTTGCTTAAGTAATACTGGTATATTCATGTATTCAGCATGTCAGTGGAGTACAAGAATCATCTTGGTTGCCATAATATTCATTTTTCACTTTCCAGGTAATCAGGTCTATCTAGAGAGAATTCTGAGAAAACCTGAAATTGATGCTTTTGCTGAAGAACTAAAACCATACCAGATTTTCTTTTATTTGGTTTAAGTATTGTTAATATTTATATGATTTCAAGTGCCTAAAATCTTATTCTTAACCTAATTGCTTCAACAACGCACTTTGGATACATAACACTTCTACGATAACGGTTTTATTTATCGGTTGTCTTTGTTAGTTTCTTTTTATAAATGACGACAACGGTTTTATTTATTCGTTGTCGTTGATGTGTTGTCTTTAAACCTCTTCCCGTCGCCGTCGCTCCTCCACCAAAGTCATCACCTCTTCCTTCCTCCGTCGCTGTCGCTGTCTACGTCTCTGTTGCGCTACAGGTTACTCAAATCTTAAACTATAATTCTTAAATTCCTAATTCCATTTATCCCTATCTAAGTCTTAAATCCCTATGTCAAGTATTCTATAAAGACTTCTGTTGTGACAGTAAATGACTTTTAAGGACAGTTATCAAGGAGGTTGAAACTCGGGTAAGATTTTCTTTTAAGAAAAAACACTCTATACGATGTTTTTAAAAGGTTAGACATCATTGATTAATTATTTCTTTCATGTTGATTTTAAGTTCAATAGTTCATATTTTGTTATGGAGATTTTTTTTTTTTTTTTTGGTTTAAATTCCTTGGCTGATCTTAATATTGATAGATTTTCCAAAAGGTATTTCCCCACCTCCAACACACTCAAACATATGTCAACATATTAATTCATAATCTCTTTTAATTGTATTACCTATTAGTGTCTACTCTTGATTCATCGTTCCCCTTTAGTAATTTTGATTTCCCTGATTTTTAGTATGCTTTTCGATCGATCTTTGTTTTCCTTGACATGTCTGAACAATTTTGCTATCTGGAAGATGCCATTTCCACTTCTAGTCTCTATAGCAGAAGCTACTCGACATTTTGTATTTATTGACACATGTGAATGGTAGTAAATATAATGCTCTGCATAAATTTGTCTATTTGTTTTACTGGAGATCCATACAAGACACTTTTTGTAGCTAGACTTGTGAGTAGAGCTTATTACAACATGTTTATTAACTTCAATTTAAGCCGCGGTCTGTTTGTATATTGTAGGACTTTTTTGATTGTGTTGTTTTTGTTTTCAGAACTATGAGACGACTGAAAACAGAAATCAAAAGGGAATTTGAGGCATATGGTCCTATCAAGAGGGTAGGGTATTACCGGGCACCCAATGTGGGGCTCAAGTTTATGACATTAGGTCGGTAAGGTGATGTTTTATGGTGGGATTGCATTGCTGTTCCATAAATTTTATGCAAAGTTCCTATTTATTACTCCCCTCCCAAGTCGTCTGCTTTCTGATGTGTCCTACATGGTCCTATATTCTAGTGGGGAATTTTATTTACACTACTAATTGCTATTTATACCACCCTTTGATAGCGGATGTGTTAATTTTATAGGTGATAGAAAATTGATATTTGCACCACCTCCATTAACGTTAGTCAAATATTATGTTTTAATTTAAAATATTTATTATTTATTTAAAAATCAAAACATAAAAAAAACAGGTGAAAAGGAGATGTTTTTTTTTTTTTTTTTTAAATGGTGATTTGGGTCGCCTTCTCGGGTGAGAAGGCAGTCCCTCGTCGTTGAGAAGATGAGGGGGTTTTTTTTTTTTTTTTTTAATTGTTTTAATTTTTAATTAAAAAGTTAATTTATAGAATATTGTAAATTATATTTGATCAAATAGCTATATTTATAACCTTATTGCTATTTACATCACCTATAAAATTGTTGTTTTTTTAATCCTTTTTACAATTTTAAGGTTATTTACATCAACTTTTCATTACAGGGTGGTACAAGCAATACCTATTCTAATTTTTCTAGAATCTATCACCATGTTTTTTCCAAACTTTATTAATGGATCACATTGAATTTCAAAGTAGTTGTTGTTGTTTTTTTTTTTTTTTTTTTTTGTTTTGTTTTTTTTTTCCTATAATTGTAATAAATTATACTAAGCTGTTTCTTTCTTTTATTAAAAATCGTTTGAAAAATATGGTTACTATAAATCAGAGGTTAAAGTCCTAAACCAAGACAAGGAATCTCTGGTGGAATTAACTATACTCTTGATCAAATGAGTCCACACACTTCCCATGAGTCTGTGTGGACAGATCTGGGTCATTGAATGTTTGAGATCAATGGCTTAGATTTCATCAATTGTGCATCGCGAACTGTTCAAGTGAAGTGCACGTTTGCACAGTCGGCGAAATTTAAGTCATTGATTTCAGGCATTCAATAGTCTAGATCTGTCTACACGGACTCATGGGAAGGGGTGGACTCACATGAATAATGGTGTATATATATATATATATATATATATATATATATATATATATATATATATATATATATATATATATATATATATATATATATATATATATAATTGCATGGTCTTTAATTGTTATAGTACAACTTATTAGTTTATTGTCTCTTAGAAAAAAAATTTAATTATTACCTTTTTTTATAGGTAAATATTTTAATATGTTTACATTTATTTGTGTATTGGTGATTGAAAGCGAGTTGATGTGTGTTTAATATAATTTATATATATATATATATATATATATATATATATATATATATATATATATATATAATTCAACTATTAGTTTACTATTTTAGTTGATATATATATATGATGAAACATATATTTGTTAATAGTGTGATACTTGAGTTCTAGCTAGGAAACTTAAGATTGATTTTGTGGCAACATAAGGTGTTATTATATTTGTGTGCTCATGTGTCTGGACTCTGGATATTCCAAGACAAGCAGCCACTCTACATACAATACATATTCCAACGCACTTACAATCTTTAAAACAAAAAAGAAAGAGCATTGACTTATTGCTTATTGAGGACGACTGGCCTATTAATTAAGGAAAACCATTGATGGTAGCACCACCGTCTACACAGAGTACGTGACCAGTAATATATGAAGCTGCCGGAGAGCAAAGAAATGCCACCGGCCCAGAAACTTCAGTAGGCTTGCCAGGACGATGTAATGCAGAACGATTGATTAAACCGTTGATTGCTTCTTTTGACGTTGGATCTTGCTGCAAAATTTTTAAAGATAATTAGACTGTATATATTATGTTCACCCATCCATTCAAGGTAATTAACCAAACTCAATTCCCAGCAAATTAAATTTAAACAAAAGTGAGAGAAAATGCATACGTACACGGACTAAATCAATAAGAGGGGTTTCGATAACCCATGGCGCCACTGCATTGACGCGAATATTATCTTTTGCCCACTCGCATGATAAGTTTCTGGTTAATTGGTTTATTGCCCCTATAATATAATTGATTAAAAAGATTAAATGGTGAGAGGTCCTAAATTGAATTATAGCACATAACTTAAAAACAGACATTGGATATGATATGATCGATGTGATTACCTTTAGTGAGTCCATAGAGAGAAGAACCAGGTGATGCAACAATTCCTAAAGTGGAAGAGATAAACACTAAGCTTCCATCACCAGAGGCTTTTAGCAAAGGGTATGCCATTTGAGATATGTGGAAAGAAGCCTCAACATTGGTGCCCATAAGAAGTGACCAATCTTTCTCTGTAATATGCTGCATTTCTTTAGACGGTATTCCCACACCTGCATTATTTACCTAGATTGGACGTGGTAATTAAATTAATTACCGTTAATTATATTATTGATTAATAATACATACCAAGTCTTAATTGTAATTTCTTCAAGATAAATCACAATCTATGTATTTCAACTTACTAGGATGTTAAGCTTTCCATTGAAGTGATCACTAACAATCTTCATAAGTTTTCCACGCTCCTCTCGTATTATTAGGTTACACGCCGATCCTGATACTTTATATCCCTTGCTAATCCATTTCTTCAAACACACGTCCAATTCTTCTTGTTCTAGTGCACATGTATATACATGTGCCCCGAAGCTTGCTAATTCCTCTACTATGGCAAGTCTAAATAAGATAAAATAAAAATTTACACACTCTAAATGTTTTAAAATTATAATAAAAAATATTAAAGCTTTATATGAAATATATATTCTACAATTCTCTTACCCTATACCTCGAGCACCACCAGTAACAAGGGCAGTCATGCCATTAAAACACCATGATGCCATAGCTGAAGGCCTGAAGCTATAGTATAAAATGGTTTAAACTAAAGGAATTATATAGTGGTAATATAACCCAAATAAGCTAGCTAGTATGTATATATAGTACAAGCTAGACCATTGAGTCCTTTAATTTAATGCGATTTAATTAGTCCCAAATGGAATATAGGTACACTAGACCCCAACATGGTCAAATGTGGATTATACAATACATAGCTGGAAATATTAGAAGTATGCATTGCCAAAGGTGGCATGTTGATGGGTCATCATATCGCATTTAATTCTTGAGATAATATAGTAATTGTGACATAATTAGTTCTGGATGTGATGAAAACTATGGAGTATTATATTTGTAAATCTGTCGCCTTCTTCTCCCTAATACAATCAAATTTGTAATTTAGAGAGTTTAAACAATCAATGAAAATTTATTGAGAATTATATATCCATCCGCAAACTATAACTTTATTATTATTACTAAATTTCACCTATGTGATCAACTGTGAACTATTCATGCGGGTCGCAAACCTCTATCATGCAAGTGGAAATCATTTGCAAAAAATTCAAAGGGGCTATTTTGTTTTCTATAAATATAAATTAATGCACTTTCCGATCCCCTGCCTATCAATTTTTCAGTGTTATTAATTGTTTAACTAGACTACATGAATTTATTCTTTTGAAAATATAGTATTGTAATAATTTATAATTTTATAACTTTTATTATTTATCCCAAGTCAAATTCAAGACATGACAATACAAGTTTTAAAAAGTGCCCATAGTTTTTATTACTTATAAATTAAATAAACTCATCACAATCAATTATATATAAAGTTGTATTACTCATTAAAAAGATTAGTATACGTACACATTTCTAAAAGATAGTATTACTCTATTTTATTTATTCATCAGTTCAACTCCTGATATATATGACGTTGCAAAAGACAACTCAAAATGGAAATGGTATATAAATTTTAAAATTTTTGAAACAAAATATTGACCAGTCAAATAATGAAATGTGTTTTACTATATATAATTGTACAAAATAGAAAATATATACTATAGGTGATCGAGCCGTGGGACATTTTCTTGTGGATTAACTCATTTGACTTTTCAATTCAAACGGGTAAAAAAAGTCTCATCCGGCAGGAGTGACTTCTAGAATTTGGATATATATATATATATATATATATATATATATATATATATATATATATATATATATATATAATTACACTTTTAGTCCTGTGACTATTGCAGTCTTGTTAATTTGAGTACTTGACTTTAAAAACTATTAATTTAGTCCCGTAACTATGCAATTTTTAACACATTTGGTCCTTCCGACCAAATCGGCGGCCAAATGTCGCCGGAATCTTTTAATCCATTTTAATTTTTTTTAATTCGGGGGCAAATCAGTCATTTTCTTCATCTTCCTTCTTCTTCATCCTTCTTCTCCGGGTTTGCCGATCGGAAACACAGGTCTGTAAATGGAAGACCAGAATGGTTCTTCATTTCCTTCTTCATCTTATATTGCTCCTTTAGTTCACACTGGATCGGAAAGCTCAAACCATAATTATTGATTGGTACCCAAGCAAAGAATTCATTACATGCATTCAACACACCAAACCATCATATGATAATGTCAAAAGGACATAATTTGTTTAGATGGAGATTAAAATAGTAAAGTCGACAACAGACTAATATCACATCTTAGCGAGGCAGGCAGTGCAGTCCCACAAACTATAAACATTTCTCAGGAATAAAGCAGAGAATGCGCATATCCTTGTGGCTTCGTCAGAGTTTTTTTGCGATGGGGAAAAGGTGGTCGCGTTGAATCTCAGGATGGGTCACCGGGATTGACTGGAAGGATTGATCCGGCGATTGGGAAACTTTCTGGGTTGGATAAGTTTAGCGTTGTTGTGGGGAGGATAACGAGGAGGGATTGAGGGAAGCAAAAAACAAGAACAAATAACTTTCCCTATTTTTTTTTTTTAGCTTACAATGACCATTTTACCCCCATAAATAAACTATTTTAAAATAATTACGTTTTTTCGACAACATTTGGTCGATGATTTAGTCGGGAGGACCAAATGTGTTAAAAATTGCATAGTTACAGGACTAAATTGTTAGTTTTTAAAGTTAAGTACTCAAATTAACAAGACAACAATAGTCATAGGACCAAAAGTGTAATTTTCTATATATATATATATATATATATATATATATATATATATATATATATATATATATATATATATAAAATATCTAGTGCGGAGGAGATTCCAGGTGAAATATTCGGTGAGATCTGAGTCGTTGATCAATATTTGATCAACGGCTCAAATTAATGATTTTTTTAAAAAATGGCGCATCCCGAGATTATAGAAGCAAAGTGTATAAATGGCGCACATTAAGTGTTACAAATACGCACCTTAAATGTCAGAATGACGCACCTTAAGTGTTAAAATGGCGCACCTTCAGTGTTAAAACTGGCGCACCTTAACTGAAAAACTTATGCACCTTAAGTGTATAACTGACACACCTTAAATGTTAAAAATGGCACACCTTAAGTGTTAAAATGACGCACCTAAACTTTGAAAAAACGCACATTAAGCTTTAGATGACGCACCTTAAGTTTCAACAATAACGCACCTTAAGCTTTAGAGTGACGCACCTTAAGTTTTAAAGGTAGAACTGACGCACCTTAAGTGTTAGCGAATGATGCACCTTAAGTATTAACACGACGGACTTTAAGCATAGAAAATACGCACATTAAGTTTCAACAATACGCAAAATGACCAAAATGCCACCACATTTTTTTAATCTGTGTTCATCCTGAACGTTGATTTTGACAAGATCAATGGCTATCATTCACCCGCATCCTTCGTTTCCCTGGCCATGGAGACGAAGCTGGCCGACGATAGTTCTAGTTTATTTGTTTTGTTTTTTTAATTTAATTAATTATTTTATTTATTTATTTTTTTTTAAAATCAATATCTGCCATGTCAGCATACTTACAGGCAAACATGTCATTTTTGGTCTAATTGCATGAGTTTGTGTTGTTCAGTGACTCAATTGTATTTTTTTTGAGTTCGATGGCCTAACTATAGTTTGGCGTGCGGTTAAGTGGCATATTTGACCCTTATTCCTAATAATAATAATAATAGTAATAATAATAGTAATAATAATAATAATAATAATAATAATAATAATAATAATAATAATAATAATAATAATAATAATAATAATTTAAAGCTTTGAGCCCGTCGTTATATCCTATGCACCGCGGCCAAAACGACGCCGTTTCTTTAAGTAAAGAAACGGTACGCCGTTAGTTTTAACATAGTGCGCATTTTGTATATGGTAATTACCAACTGACACTACAGTATATCTAAACCGACACTGTCTCACGTATTATTTTTTATATTGTCAAATGAAACTGCAGTTATATCAAAATGATACTGTAGTTGTGGTGAAATGAAACTGCAGTGTATATAAAATGAAACTGAACAACATTTCACATATTTGAGTGTATATTGTGCAATGAAGCTGTAATTATATCAAAATGATCATGTAGTTGTGTTTTAATAAAACTATAGTGTATATAAAATAAAATTAAATAACATTTTCACATATTTGAGTCTATAAAATATTGAATGAAACTGTAGTTGTGTTGAACCGAAACTGCGGTGTATACAAAATGAAATTGAATAACAGAGTAACTTTTTGCGGAACGGCGGGAAACAGATGCCATTTCATTTCATTAAATAAAATGACGTCGTTTTGATACGCGGTGCATAATCGACTATGCACCGCGGCGCACGATATAATTTGCCGCTTTTAGCCAATAGTTATTGTGTGGACCACGGTCAAAATAGTGAAATACGACGTTGTTTTGAGAATTTTTTTTTTTTTTTCATGCGACCCGCTGCAATATACATTTTTGTAACTCATAATATACATTATTTTAAAGCATAATGTACATTATTCTAACTCATAAATTACATTATTTTATCCTAGAAGTTTCATTATTCTTACACATCATGTACACTATTCTAACACACGAAATACATTGTTCTAATTCATAATGTACATCATTCTAACTCATAAAATTCAACGACGTCGTTTTAGGCCGTGGTCCACACAGCTGTGTTGACAACAATCATTTGACGCTTTTAGTTTAACTCTTTAGTTTTATTTAAAAATTATTTTTAGCCCATAACATGGCTTGGCCAAACTCTAAGCAAAAGAAAAGGAGATTAACATTCATAGCAAATTTTTGTTTTCATTCGGTACAGAAGGTATGGCGCGGCACGGATAATTTATTTCTTTTCGGGCATAAGATTTTCTTCTTTTGTCTACGAATTTCTACAATTTCTTTCTTATTTGCAGTTTTCTTCATGACCGTGCCTGGCTAATTTATTTGTTTTTGGTCAAATTACGTGAACCACAAATCATTTGTACTGTAAGATAAATTTGCGTCAACTGTGAATTCATGGTGGTTGAATAATTAAAATTCTCCTGTGTTTTTACCAATTATTTGTCAGACTAGTTGATGAATCTTATAATTATTTTTTCTAGTCTGAGTAACGAATAGGGTTGATTAATTACAACTTTAGTGTTAATTCAGTTCTATGCATATCAAATTCGAATACAACTCAATTTTATTCCAATAATGTTTAAAATCACAATCAAGCAAAAAAAAAAAAGAAAAAAAAGAAAAAAAAAAAGAACTTAGTATATATTGGGACACTTGAATTAAATACGTGATTAATTAAGGACAACCATTGATGCTGGCTCCTCCATCTATGCATAGAATATGGCCAGTAATATATGCAGCCATGGGAGAGCAGAGGAATGCCACTGGCCCAGAAACCTCTGCAGTTTCACCGGCACGACGCAATGGTGCCCTATTGATCATGTTGTTCAGTGATTCTCTTGCTGCAGGATCTTGCTGTAACACGTTCACATTTTTAAACATTATTAGATTAATTACTCAAAACCAAGCCCACAATAATAATAATAATAATAATAATAATAATAATAATAATAATAATAATAATAATAGTTTACTTACGCAGACTAATTTAGTAAGAGGGGTTGTGATGATCCATGGTGCCACAGCATTGACGCGAATATCATCTTTTGCCCACTCGCATGCCAAATTCTTTGTCAGATGGTTTATTGCCGCTATAATTAAAAAATTACATAGTTAGATAATCTAAATATATAATCTTGTATTTTATTTATTATTTATCCCCAAACATATCAATTTTTCTATAGCATTGATTAACACCTATATGGATAATATCGTTACAATCAAATTACCTTTGGATGTTCCATAGAGAGTAGAGCCAGGTGTGGAAATAACCCCGGAAGCAGAGGACACAAACACTATGCTTCCATTTCCAGTGGCTTTTAGCAAAGGGTATGCCAACTGAGATAAGTGGTAAGAAGCCTCAAGATTGGTGCTCATAACAAGAGACCAATCTTTTGGACTACAATCTTTAGCTTCAGTGTATATTGCCAGACCTGCATTGTTTACCTGCATTCAACATGCTAATTAATTGGCTTATATAGGATTAATAATTTAAATTTGTAATATAACTTACGTACCAAGATATCAAGCTTTCCGTTGAAGTGGTTACCAACCGTCGTCATAAGATTTTCGCGCTCCTCTCGAACTGTTAGGTTACAAGGCAGTCCTGATACTTTGTATCCTTTACTATTCCAGTCTTGCAAACATTGGTCCAGTTCTCCCGACTCCAGAGCACAAGTGTATATATCAGCTCCAGATTTTGCAAATTCTTCTACTATCGCAAGCCTAATTTAGTTCAAACAAATAAAAATATAAATATTCCATTACAAAATCCTAGTAAAAAAAATCATTCAAAATAAGATATAATCAATAATTCACTTACCCTATTCCTCTAGCACCACCGGTGACGAGGACATTCTTGCCATTGAAACACCATGGTGCCGCCATAGCTGAAGCTAGAGTATAAAATACACTAAGGTTGAGAAATCAGAGGTGATACTAAATTAAGTACGATGATTAGAGTGTAGGCCGGAGACGACCAATTCTCGTTGTTGTTGTTGTGGTTTTGTGTCAGCAGTAAGTAGGTGGCTTATATAGGTAGAAGTAAACCCCAACATGGTCAAGAGTGGCAGACTACTGGCAGGCTAATTTCCCCTTGAGTACAGATATGCTATTTACATTTTTAATTTTAGTTAGCAGCCGTCAGGCCCGCCATTATTGATTATTGAGTATTCCTTTAATTTATTTATTTATATATATATAGCAAGCTTATTGGTAAGTAGAGACAAGAAAGTATAATAAAAAAATGTTCCACCTATAGATCGGTCTGTCATGGCGAGCCGAACTCCAGGTTTGTGCTTGCTTCTGACTTATTGCCATGCTATAAAATACTCCGTAATAATATCCCATTTAGAAAATATCCGAACTGACTATTCTCTACAAATTTATTTATTAAAAAGTTGTTAATTCAAATGTATAAAGTGAATTCAAACTTGACATGTTTTAGTCAAATAAAAAAAATATCAATGAAGGTATTTGGTATATAACTTATTAGTTAATTTTTAGCTTATTTGACTAATTTTATCTGTTTTACTTGGTCAAATAACTAAAGGTGTTTGGTCAAACTCGACCTCCCATCGTACTGCCCACTGGTACGGTGTGTTGATTTCTTGACTCCTCGTTTTATTGATCCGTTGTGCCCCATAAGAAGCAAAAACCTTTTTCCTAATTGTTTCTGGGGCTCTGTTCGTTCGGTGGCGGGCGGTTGTTGTTGTGAAGGAGGTTGTCACTTAGCGTCTGGGTGACCTGAGTTAACTGATGCAAGTTCTGAGCCAACTGTTCGTTAGTCGGCGTCTCAGGGGTTCTTGCACACTTTCTTAGTGGTGCCATCCTAGTTTCTACAGGGTTAATCATCGGTTATAGATGTGGGTTTTATCCTTGAGTCTTGGCATGTTTAGAGTTTGTTTTTAGGGTTCGATTGTGTTGTTTCTTGGCTTATTCTATGCGTTCAAGTCCCTATTGTTGTTGATATGTGTTTGGACGTGTTGGGACTTGATAAGCCTTGAATTAGCCCATAATTATGCTTCGTTTGTACTAATTTATGACCGAATGCTAGGTAATTATGCAAGAAGGAAGCGTATTTCAGGTGTTTATGGCTTGAGGAAAGGAAATGTAGATTGGGGCATACATAAACTTAAAATGAGGACAAATCAATATAATATTAAGGCCAAGTGGTTCAAAGAAGGAAGGGCAAAATCATAGCAAGGATCAACGGAGTATCGGTGCAAATGAGAAGCAAAACGTGACACCGCTGTTCTACACTTCTGTTCTGCCCGTCACGATGGAGGTCACTGCGTGACCCCAATCGTGACGAACATGGGAAAAGAATGAGAGGAAATTAGCTTTCATTCTCTTCTCATCAACTCCTCCTCATCTTTTACCCAAACAACCTCTGCTCCAACTTCCACCCTTCAACTTCAGCCCAAACTCCTCTCCAACTTCTACCCATTTCATATTCTCCCATGAAAATTAATAATTGTCAGAAAAGCTTTCCCAATAAGCTAACAAATATTATAGTGAATATAAATTGGTTTAGTCCAAAAAGAGCTATTTACCACATAAGAGGGTAGCTCAACCCAACATTGGTAAATGACTGTTAGTTGATAGTGGTTAGCTGTTAGCTGATTTGGTTAATTAGAGGGTGTAACTAGTTGATAATATTAGCTGATTGTAGAAATGTGTTTGGTAAATTGGCCGTTAGCTTATAACTGTTTGGTATAATTTCTTTTCTCAAAAAACTAATTGAAAAAGTTGCTTAGACTAACTTTTTAAATTTTAGCATTTTGGAGTTACAAAAAGCTAATGAACCAAACACTTATATTGATTTTTTAACCAAATCAAACAATTAATAGTGGTCAAATAAGTCAAAATTGGCCTATAAGCCAACTATTTACCAAACAGGGCCTATATATATTCACAATTACAGAACTCTATTTTCACAATTAAAACACTTTATATTCAACAGTATAATAACATTATTGAATCTATATTTACAATTTTTAAACTTTATATTCAAAAAAAAAAAAAAAAAAAACACACATTATTGACTGAGGAAACGGTGCCACTGACGACACCATTATTCCAAAACGTGTTTTGGACCCATAGCATAATTTGCCCTGTTTGCTACATCAGTCCATTTGTAAGACACCTGAGATTTAGGACATCATTTTTAAGTCTATGCGTTTGGGCTTTTCCTTAATATCTGCAACATATATTTTCCGGGCTAATTCACCTATAATTCATATTTTAAATATGTTGTCTCAACTCTCAAGTTTTCCACTGATGTTGGGCTAGGACTAGATCCCTGTCCAAAACATTGATAAGAAGATGGGCAAACTAGGCGTGTATATATCATGCATGTCATATGATTTGTTCATTGGGTGTACTGTTCCCATCACTTCGATTAAAAGAGATAATTTTGTAATTTTGGAGCAATTTGTTATTAAACAAGTAATATTAAGTATGTTATTTAAGTGTAACTTTATAATAAATACCCTTCAATTTGTATATTTATGACTTATGAGATTGCAATATGTTCCACCAATTACTTAGAACCATGCTTAGCATTATTAATTTGTATTAATAATTTGGCCTTAAATATAATAGATGTAAAAAATTTAATAATAAAGATAAGAATTAAATTCAAGAAACACTATAAAATTACTCTGTAATGTAATACATCGTACCCTTTAAACACCACCAAAATATAATTCATTGACAAATATAATATTCATGCAACACCATATATATATATATTCATATCATATTACAAGATGAAATACAAAAATTTTGATGGATAACCCTTCTTTATTGCGTGCTATTAAACAATACAATACAAATGGTACTATATATCTAGAAATGGAAAGCCCCGGCGGTGTAGCCTCCATCAATTTGGACAACCTGACCGGTGATGTGGGAAGCAGCCGGCAGGCAAAAAAATGCCACCAACGGCGATATCTCGTCGGCTTCTGCCACTGGCTTCAATGGAGTTCTCACCATAATTGGACCATACAATTCCTGGGTTGTTTCTTCAATGTCTTCCTGCAAATTAATACCAACTTTATATATATGTAACAGATGATGATACAAACTTAATTAATTTTTTAGTGTGCGAGCTGAGGAGTCTTACACGCGTCATCATTGTGGTTTTGACGGCCCAGGGTGAAACCGTGTTGACTCGGATGCCATCATTTGCCCATTCACAAGCCAGATACTTGGTCAACTGGTTTATAGCAGCTGAAATATTTATAATACATACACCTCCAGATCAGAATTATTATATTACTCTGTATTTTACAGTTTACTATAATTTGTTTTACCTTTAGCGCTTCCATAAACGGAGAGTGCAGGCAATGCAGTGGCGCCAGCCATAGAGGAGATGAAAACAATGCTTGCGTTTCCAGATGCCTTGTGGAGGGGGTAACACAGTTGTGACAAGTGGTATGGTGCTTCCAAATTTGTTTCAATAATGTCTGAAAATTCCTCGGGATTGTAGTCCTTCGCTAACCTCATTCTACTCATTGCAGCGTTGTTCACCTGAGAAACAAAAACGAGTTAGGATTAATTTCACAGTGATTGGTATGTAAAGTGAAATTGTTGAATCCCATGAACTTACAAGGATGTTAAGCTTGCCATTGAAGACAGAGGAGACGGTTTCGATGAGCTCCACCCTTTGTTCCCTGGACGACAGGTCGCAAACGGAGCCGGTGACTTTGAAGCCTTTTGCCTGCCATTCCCGGAGCTTTTCGTCGAGCTCCGTCTGATTCCGGGAGCACGTGTGGACTGCGGCTCCGAATCCGGCCAGTTCCTCGACTATAGAAGCCCTGAAATGATTGCGATTGCAGTGATATGTTAGTGTCTCCAAACTATAAAGAGATTTGGTTATATAATTCCCTAAAATCTAATCGAGTTGACTCACCCTATGCCTTTGGTTCCGCCGGAAACCAGAGCCGTCTTCCCCTCAAGAGACCATCTTGAGTTCCTCTGGTTGCACTGCTCTCCTTCACCAGCCATGTCTTACCTTCCGTACAAATCGTGTTTGTTCTTTAAGTAGAATACAGTCAGAGTAGGATGCTATTTTGATGCTTTTGTTTGGAGATTGGTACAAGAATACCTCATATTTATAGTCCAATATTTTGAATAGTCTAGTCATATGAAAAATAAAACAATAAAAGTTATAGCTTACATTTTTCTTTAAAAAAAGTAAAAGGATGCCTATTGTTATTTATTTTGTTAACCATATAGGACAAAATCTCCAATAAAATCATTTTACATAATTCATGGGATGGATCGAATTTCATATCACCTCCACTAGGTCGAATCCACAACCTACTATATGAGGAACGACTCGGTGCTACTAGATCACAAGATTCTTGACTTATCTAAAAAATTACATTTTTTTTATCATAACTATTATATTTTTTTCTCGTGAGTAATAATCAATCAATTTATCAATTATTATTTATTAGTATTATATTTTTTTATTAGTATTTGACAAGTAAATATTATATTTTCATTTTAACTCAATCTGTACTGTGAATAAGAATTTCTGAGGTCTCTAGAAAATTCATTCAAATATAAAATAATAAAAATATATAGCATTTTCGACTAAAAAACAGCAAGAGACTTTTGATCTACAAATTGCGGTTGGGTGGGAATCAATGAAGTTTGAGGTCACAGATAAGATCATGGGATTAGAGAGTTTCATTGCTAATGGTCAAATTTTAGTTTTTTATTTTTATTTTTTTTATTTAAATTCCCTCCTTTCTAGAATTTGGCCAGTCAAGATCGATCGTATTCGTATTCGCATTTTGAATTATATATGGAGCCTTTTTCCCTCTTTTTAAATCATATTTTATGGATTGCCCAATAGACTTTGAAAGCATTGACTACTGGCTAACTACCATACTAATTAATATTAAAAAATATAATTATCATTGACAGGCAAATCTTAACTTTGTGCATAAAAATTGAAAATTAAATCTCTTGGCCTAGAGTTTCTACATCCTTGTCCTACCAAAATTGTG